ATATTTAATTATAAAATTTTAAATTTAAAAAATGGTTAAAATCAAATAGATCTATAAACATATGAAAATCTTAAAAATTGATGGTGTAGATAATATGCTGTAAAATGCACTATTTCTGAGACTTAAAATCTTTTTATTTTTCATAGTCATACATCTCGATGTCGAGATGATCAATCAAAGGGTTTTTCAACGTGAAAACTACCTTTTCCGATGGATTTTTGAGGGGCATCCATAGTTCTAGGTAGCATCCGTATATAACTTTTTCCATATAATTAATACAAACTTTTCAAGAGCTTTAAGCATTAGGATACAACTAAAATTAGGGCTGTGAAACTCCGGGCCTGCTCAGGCTTGAGGGCCTGCTCGGAACCATTTTACTAGGCCCACCTGAATTTGTGCTGATGAGGCCCGAACCCAAAAAATAGGGCCAGACCTTATGTCGATATAGGAATTTATTTTTTTGAAAAAGAAAGTTGAAGCAAAGATAGGGCCGGGCACAAGCACAAGCACAAGCACGGGCCCAGCAAGCCTGACCCTAGATACAATGGCAGGCTCTCTAAACTCCAAAAAGTTTGAAGTTTGACTAGTTTATCTGTTTATTCGAAGTTGTCTGAATTTGTGGTTTCAGGTGGACACAGAGGAAAACCCAAACCTAAGTAAATCAGAGGGAGTTTCATCCGTGCCGGCTTTCAAGATATACAGGAATGGGTCTCAAGTGAAGGATATAGCGGGATCCAATCCACAGTTGCTCGAGAGTTCCATCCAATACTATAGCAGTTGAAATGTTTCTTGGCCATAGTATCGAGAGTTCCATCAAATACTATAGCAGTTGAAGTGCTTCTTGGCCATTGTATCTCCCATCTTCCAAACACTACATACTCCAATTTTTCTTATTCATAGATGCATGCCTGCCCAATCAGGGCCATTCAACGAAACTGAGGTCGGCGATGAACAGGCCAGGCGTTTTGTGAGGAAGACACACTTAGTGATTGTGTATGCTCTCTCTCTCCCTTGCTTGCTCTCTCTCTTTCTCGTTCTTTGCGGAGACATAGACATAAGATAATAGAAGTAGCACTCGGTGTGTAGCCCGGAAAATGGAGCGAACTTAGGCCGATTGAGCTTGGACCGGTGATGAACCCAGGGTGACAAGTAAATGTGTGCATTTTGTATTGCTCTTTAACTATTGCATATATACATTCCTGTGTGTATTCGTATATATCAATACATCCAAATCAAATTGTGCCTTGCTTGTGCAATACAGTGGGTGGCCTGGTTCTGTTAGTTTCGCCAAAAGGCGTTTCAAGCATGTTATGTAATTTAAATAAAGTTTTAGTCCTACATTGGAGAGTTAGAATGAGAGTCATGCATAAACAGAAGAACACTGCTCTATGGTCCTATACACAGTTTGATATAAAGAGAAATACAATATTTTCAACATGGTATTGGAGCTATGGCCGGTAGTCCTGCAATACGACTTTTATGAAAAAAATTGTATACAATGAGACCATTTATCAAGAAGGTCTCAATTACTTGTAACCATTTGATGTGAAATGTGATAGTTTGGGTGTGTCACAAAGTTCGAAAACATTTCTTTTGGACATTCAACTTAGTCAATGGAACAAATGTAACCACTCAATTTCACATCTAATGGTCAAGATCAAATGTGATCACCTTGTGTCAAAGGTAAATGATCTCGCGGTATATTTTTTCTTTCCTAAAATCGACATCTGAATAACGGCTTGCGAAATCAGCCATACAATACCTCAGCCATGCAATACCTTTCTACCGAAACCACCCTACAAATATCATCATCCTACAAAACCACCATGTAATATTGCAAATTTGAAAATCACCCTACCAGATGTGAAACCGTCAATCTGAAACTGTCATCTCAAAACCACCCACAGAAATCCGCATTTGAAAAACAATCATTCGATACCTCTCAAAAACGAACTCTTGAAAATCTCCTTTGAATCCGATAGATCTAAAACCCTCTTGTCTTTGAAATTCGCCTCTAAAAATCACCATCGAAACCAGATCCAAAGTCCTCTCTATCGTGTTCATAAAATTTCCCACAGCCCCAAGACTTCTCCGGCAAGCCAACCACCCCCCCCCCCCCACCCCGTCTCCCTCCCTCCCTCCCTCCCTATTTGACGATAGAGCCATCAAGATCTATCCCTATTTGTGTTTGATACTTTTACTAGCCAAGTATTTTTGTTACTCTATGTGGATGATATGATAATATTTGGTGATGATAAGGATATCTGTAAGATTAAACAAACACTCAATCAAATATTTGAAATGAAAGACTTAGGGTTCTTGCACCATTCTTGATCTAAATGTTTCTAATTCTCCTCGCAGCTATTTGTTATCTCAACACAAGTATGCCTCAGAAATAGTCTCCCAAGCTCGCCTCATGAATGATACTAAGAGAGTTGACACTCTTACTTAATTGAATGATAAACTTCGAGAAACAAATGGTAAACTACTCTCAGTTACAACATTTTTATCGTCAAATGGTTGAAAAATTAATATATCTGACAATTTCTCACCTAGATATTACTTATGTGGTGCATTTGGTTAGTCATTTCCAAAGTTTTCGCCGATTCGTCTATTTTGATACTGTCTTACGCATCATTCGTTATATTAGAGATTCTCGACACCAAGCTTCGTTTTTCTTTTCTTCTTCCTTACTTGAGCATCGGGCATAGACTCAAGTTTTGTGACTCAAATTTTGTAAAGAAACTAAGTGTTCACAAATAGATTCTCTTTTACCTTGGAAAAGTAAGAAATAAAAACGCATTGCCCAATATACTACAGAAGCTAAATAAGGGCAATAGCATAAACTACAACATAATGTGTTTGGCTTTAATGGTTCCTTGCTGATATGGGCATTACTGTTTGTAGACACTTCATTCTTAGATGAAGGAATTCCAGGAAGTAGAAACCCTAAAAAACTTAGAGTGTAGGCCTAGACCTTTCTTGGACTACCCATAAACCAAAACCCTCGAATTTGCCCTACCAAAAACTCATTTTTGAGCCTAAAACTAGACTAAGGACCACACTATGACCATGCACCCTAAAACCATCATTTTCATATACCATAGCCCATCCTATGCACCATAGAAGTTAATCAACTCCTCCAATTTAAAACCCAACTAAACTAGTTCAATTACTTCAATCCACTAAACCATCTTAAACCTTCCTAAGATAACCTAAGCTACCTTTAAACCTTCAAATTTAGACCTAAGCTCCCTTAAAACCTTCTAAAACAAACTTAAACCTACCTAAATGGCCTAAACCCACCTTAAACTTGCCTATACTAATCTAAACATGGGCCAACACCTTTAACCCCACCAAACCTTAGTTTGACCTCACTTTTATGGCATTTAAAACTCATAATTACCACTAAAACGCACCTAAAATGGCTCCTTTACATGTTAAAACATCCCAACAGCCATAACAAGACAAGTGGCACAAAACAACAAAATTATGGGGTCCATTGCGTCTGCGTAACACTTATTTACGTAAGCGTAATACTGTGTTTCATAGTGATCTATGGCTCAGATTCAACTGCCACTTGCAGGACCTATTATCTAGGTACTAGCTTGTAAATATAAACCCTCAACTACGGTATTGGTTCTGAGACCTTAGAGAAATAGGAGAAGCCCTAACACTCCACACACTTAACCCTAGATCCTACGAAATCCTAAAGCTAGGAATCTTAATTTTCCCTCTCATAAAACCCCTAAGCTTACTTTTAACCTCTGGAATCTTATCTTAGTCAACATATACCCTGAGGCCTCTAATCAAATCATAGATTCTTGGTTACATCTACGGACTCTAGACTCTTTCTTTATAGCATAGGCCTAGTATCCAATTCAAATCTAAGTTAATATCAACTCAATCTGAACATTGTTCAATCCCAATTGGCAAACTCTAAGAGGCGAAAGAGGTTGGCACAACAATTTCGGATCTAAGAAAGACCACCGACTCCAGGTGCCGAGCTTATGGGCCTGGTTTCCTAGTAAGTTCATCTCTTTTAGCTTATCTTTGCATATTTAGTGTAGTTTAGTCCTAATTCCCTATTTTGAAACTATTTCCTACATTAATCCCATTCTTTGCTCTAGGATTTTTAAAATTTCTTCCTATTCGCGAATTTTCAGCCTCATTGTCCCATAAACCGACAATTGTAAGTGGTTAGAGAGAGAGCAATCCTTAGGCTTACCTCCCTCTCGGACTATAATTTGACGAAGCTCTAATCTCTACCACTGATCGACTCTATTTCAATTCGAAGGTGCTTGGCATCATGGCCGAAAATTCGTGCCCTGCCCTGCCTCACCATCCTCGAGTGTCTTGTGAACACTGTTATGACTTCCACACCGCTTTATTGGAACAATTAAAGCACCATCTACAATTTTAAAATCTAGAGTTCCATGTGCCAAGCATATTGAAGTTGGCTGTCACCTTGCTCAGCAAGAATTTTTGGCGGGCACAATTTCTCTTACATACATTATCTCCTTAGAGCAACTGGCTTACTTAATCACCATAGTGAACCTCAATTCTCTTGGTTTCTTTCGAAACGATTTCTGCTGAGCCATCTCAAGTTTGAGGGGGAGTGTGAAATTATAGGCACCTGTATTAATTGTTTCTACATAATATTTTTTTTCTTATTTTATATACTTATCTTCGGAAGGTTATTGATTCTATACGTTTCTCTCTGTAATAGTACATTTAGGGATCCTATACACCATTTGATACACAGAGAGAGACAATATTTTCTACCCCAAAAATTGAAATTGGGCCCGGACTTACCGGAAATAGATTTAAAGGACCCCCCAATTACCAATATGATCTGCACAACCCTGGTGATTTTTAGACCGATAATGCTAAATTTAACCAAAAAAGTCAAAAAAAAAAAAAAGAAAAAAAAAGAAAAAGAAAAAGGAGGATAAAAACTTGAGAATCACATGGTTTCCAAAGTGGAGTAGTTAGTTACTAGCAACAAATTCATCTAACCAAAAAGAAAATCCGAAGTTTATGTCAGTCCTTTCTCTATAGTCCTCATTTTGAATCACCGTGAAACCCATGCTTCATGCTTTCCTCTCCTCTCCTTCTTGGCTTTCAACCCATGCTTCATTGTTTCATGCCCTGTTTCCCATCTTTATTTTATGCCACCTCCCCTCCCCCCCCCCGGCTTCTCTCTCTCTAAAATCCAAGAGAATGTATTGACGTATGTCAAACCATTACACAGGTATAGAAAAGACCCCAAGCCAATAAATAAAATGAGGTTCAAGCACATAGATGCGTCGATTTCATTTTACTACAATATAGTCCACCACTGGCCATCCATATCCATAAATGCATAAATAAATCACATATTTATTGAACACATAGGACAATTTATGGACAGAAGTGAATAGATTGAAACCAAACTAATGAGAAAAAGATACACATAAATACAAACGATCTTCTTTGTCTTACTTTGAGATTGTGATACGATTGGTGCGTGCAGCAAACCAATTTTTATTCAAACCGGAACAGATCTCTGGATTCGGACTGAGAAGAAATGACCAAGGAGAGTGAGAAAGAAGTAAGAGAAAGGAAGAGGACGTCACCCAAAAAAAAAATGGTAATAAAAAATGAGAAATCTCAGTAAAAGAAGACGAAAAACCAGAGCTTTACTTTCGGAAAAGCTTCAGCCTTTTCGACCAATTGCGCTTCTCTTTTAAACTGTACACAGCCCCCAAAACCATACACAACTCCAACACTTCACCGGAAAAGTTTTCTATCTCTTCCAACTCCGGCTTCTCGACAAGTAATCCGACTTCTTCACCCACGTCTCCCTTGAAATTTCTGGCGAAACTTTGAAAAAATCAGGCGCGTAGCTCATCAAAACCATGCTTTCTCTCTCCTCCTCTTTCTCTGTCTTCAATTCAACCTTCTCCTCTTCTTCCCACCCCTTTAATGGAGCCGACCTGCACCTCATCAATAACAGGGCATTTGGAGGGGGCACGCTTGGAGCCTCCTCCTCTCTCTCCTCCCCAAATTTCCCCTTCTCCCTCTCTTCCCCAACAAATCCTCTTTCTCTCTCTAGCCCCACTTTCTCTCTCATCCCATTAAGGTGGGTTTTCTTATCTGGGTCCTCCTGCAATATCATGAACCATTTAGCAAACACAGTGCCAGCTCCTCCCCCCTCTGCTTCTCTCTCTTCCTCTTCCTCCTCTTCCTCTTCTTCATCTGATGAAGAATAGGAGGACGGAAAACCGCCGAAGCAACGAAAATCGAGCCGGAATTTTGTCAGAGCAGTCAAGAAATGTACGGCCTCCGCCAATTTGCTGCCGATCGGGCGGCCAGAATTGCGCCTGTGCTTGTTAGCATGAAGCTTCTCTATCTCTTCCATCACTGATTGCCAAGTCTTGCACGCGCGCCTGGGCTTGACCCGGACCTGACCTGCGCATGTGACCTTGGGTGAGGTGGGCTCGTGCGGCTCGATGACTGGGCTCGGGTGGGCCCGAACCTTGGCTCGGAGCATGGGGCTGCCGTGGGCACGGGTCGGTGCGGCGCGGTGGTGATGCGTGGCTCGGTCGGGTCGGCGGCCTGGGCTACATATGGGCTTGGGCATTAGTGTTAGGGGAACTCGAGAAGGGAAGCATACGAAGAGGTCGGAAGTGCTTGGTGATGAGCTCGACGATGGTTTGTGATGGTTTGTGAGCCATTTGGCTGTGGTGGAGGTGGTTTCTTCAGGTGGCATGGTGGGTATCAGGTGTGCTTTGGATTTTGACAGAGAGAGAGGTGGTGCTTTCGATTCTGTGTTGTAGAGAGAGAGAGAGATCCTGTAGGAATTAGGATCTGTTTCAATGGTGGTATTAAGCTGAGACTTGGCTGGTATGCTATATATGCAGAGAGAGGCCTTACACTATAACTGGAGCTAGAGAGAGAGAGAAAGGAAGAAGAGGTTTTCTTTCTAGTTCCCTTTTAGAGAGAGAAAGAGTGGGCTTTCTCTCGCTTTCTAGCTAGCTGCGTGTTGCTTCCTCGCCTCTCCTTTTACCACTTTTCACTTCCCATCACAAGACCACTCATTTCCTCTTCTTTATTTCTTAATTCCTCAAGAATCCTCACTGGCCAAGAAATCTTCTTTATTTCTTACCCCTTCTTCAGAACTGTCTACCTTTTATTTTTATTTTTTATTTTTTTAATGGAAAAAAAAAATATTCAAGCCTAATCAATTTTCAAAGGGTGCGGTTTCTATAACGATGCAACCTTAGACAATCTCTTGCTATAAACAATTCTTAGTATTATCTTAAAATCTATTTTCATACCTAATTAGAAAATCTTAAGTTTTAAAAATGGTTAAAATCAAGTAGACTTATAAATATATGAAAATCTTGAAAATGGATGGTCTAGATAATGTGTTGCAAGCTGTACTATTTTCGAGATTTAAAAACTTTTTTTTTATATATATTCATACATCTCAATGTCAAAATGATCGATTAGAGGGTTTATTCAACATTAAAACAATATTTCCGATGGATTTTTGAGGTGCACCTGTGATTCTACACTCTAAGGTTGTAACCTTATATAAACTTTTCCTATTTTCAAAAGGGTGTAAAGCGATAGAGATAAACTCCCAATGGTGGTGGTAATACGCCCATGTTTTAGTTACACATCGTGCTTTTCAATCCCACGACAATTTCAAACATAGTGTTTTTCCGACCAAAATTCTAGCCAAGAGTATTTCAATGACCTTAAATTTTGACAATCTACTCAACCTGAAATGAATGCAAAAGGCGAAAAAATATGTACGCACCATGGATCTGATTCTAAAGATTTAAATACTAAGATAAAAAATTAATATTTTGATGATATTACCATTCTAGTGATTCTATAGTAGGTCCTCCTAGCCTTTTATATCCAATAAATCTCTCATAAGGCATTTTGCCCAATGTACAATTTGTGAAAGGTGGAGTATATCATACACACTACTTGCATAGGCTTTAACATACATAAATGTTGTTGCATAGATAAAAAACATCTATAATTTTGAATAAATAAAATGTATTCAAGTATCAAAAAAAAATATTGAATGCATTAAGTACATATTCCATGTGTAGAAGTACCATAACAAAACCCATATATAAATGTCATTTTTTTAACATACTAGCTTTCGGAATGCAAGCAATTTGCTGGCACCTTACCAACCATCCAATTTCATATACGAACGGTTGTGCACTGTAGTTCGTCACGTTTCACTTTTCAAAATTTGGCTTTTAAGCAATGACAAGACGCATCGAGACCCTCCGTGGTGGAGATAGGACAGATCTGAGAAGTGTTAGCGAAATGTTAGAAACCCAACTGCTAAGATAGTGTACTTTTTCCTCATCTCTAAATACACTTGACTTTCCTAAAGTATTCTCTGCCCTTTTAGGTCTGGGGCCGAACAAAAGGCACGCGCAAGGCAAAGTAACTAAAAAAAAAAGGTCAATTAAGTAACTAAAAAAAAGGTGATTTTCACCTAAAGTAGCTTTACATGGGGGATTTCGACCAAGTTAGGGCTAATCTAGACATTTTAAAAAGGAAAATGGTTTGATATGCTGCCTCCTATCAAAAAAAGTAAAGCCTTAACTCATTACTCACATAAATTTGCAAATTCAAGTATTTACATGGATCATTCGACTTGAACATTAAAAAAAAAAAATAGGATTTTAAGTTTTAAAAATAGTATATATTATAAAAAATGATCTAGACCATTCATTTCACTTAAAATTAGGTGTTCATAGATATGCAATTATAAATCTGTATCATTTTTTTAGTTTTAAATTTCATCGTCGGTGTTTAAAATTGATTTTAAAACCATTGTGGAGATTTCCATTTGCAAAAATAATTTCTAGAAGAAGATTTTAAGTGAGGCTTTTTTTTTTTTTTTATAAAGCCTAGGCCTTATAGAAATTTTATCCTTTTAAAAATGCTATAGGGGCATAGTGGAAAAGGAGTGTTCCTCCCTTTCCCTAGTATACGTTACAATAAATCTAAGGGACCATAGCTTATTTTATAAGAGGAAAAGGTGCGAAAAGAGGGAGCATGGATTAAAGCATAGCATGATAATAATGATAGGCTTGTGCTCCAACCAATGCAATCGAGAGCCCTTGCAATAATGTCCAACCGCACTATGTTTTGCCCATTTATCATGTCAAATTAAACCTTGATCGAACTAAGTCTTGATGAAACTATCTTGGCAGTTAAAGTCTTGATCCACTATATAGAAGTTTTTTTGCTCAATTTTTTGTCTTGCATAGCTCTTATGTATGGTGTTTTGTTTCTATGTTCAAGTGGGGTTCTTCTTCCCCTTCTCAAATGAAGTTGAAAGAGCTCTAAATAACTGAAGCTTGTGTTAGGCAATCTGGTTAGGCAATGTGGAATTATGTTCAGGAGAAATATACAAAAAGACTATTTATTTTTAGTACAAGAAGTTTATAATTATTCTTGTTCGTTGGATTTTAATCCTAGTGGTTCTAAGTATGTCTAACTAGATTAAGTTAAAAAAAAAAAAAGTTTTTCTAACTTTGTGACGCATCCTAAATTATTCAATTTGACATCTAGTGGCTAAGAGTAATTGTGACCTCTCGTAACGATAATAAACAATCTCATATTATAGAAACCTATATGTTTAAGATAGGGCCATAAATCTTATTGCACACTTTCGTTAAGTTATTCAATGTTTTTCTCTGTGATACGTTCTTTGATTTTTAACATGAATGTTCCAAATAAGCAGTTAAGCAGTAAAGTCGCATCTCAAAACCTCATAAGAAACTATAGTGATAGTTTTAAGCAGTAAAGTCGCATCTCAGAACCCCATTAGAAACTATAGTTTTGACGCTGGAAATCCATGTGATGACTTGAAAATCTATTTCTGCTGCTGCTTACAAAATTCGATTTCCTTAATAGTACGGCTGGTATAAGCCCTACGGTTCACAAAAACCAGCAAAGTGACACCTGAAAACCTTAACAGAAAATGCATTGAGAACTTATATGATGGCTTAAAACTTTATTTTGCCCCTTGTAGTAAAATTTGAAGCGCCTAAAATGGTAAATATTTTCTTTCTTTCTTTCTTTTTCGTTTTTTTTTTGGTAATTAACATGCTGCTGCCCAAATATTACAGATCTTGCGTATTGGTGAGAACAGAATAAATGTTCTAGATAATATGCTATAAGATAAACTACATTTAGGACGTAAAATCCATCTTTTCAAGCGCCAAATATAACATTTTCCAGCGACATTTTAAGGGGGGCAGCTTACGCTGACTCTTTCCTTCTAGATATAACTTTATCATGTGGCATCATTACAAATAAATATGAGTGTTGATGCATATTTGGTATGAATTACTTCAAGAGAAAATAATAATAATAATAATAATAATAAGTGGCAGTGGGCCTGAATTAATGTTTTCCATATTTAGTGGGTGAGTTGGGATTCATACAATCTTACCGTTGTGTTGTGGCCCATAGAGCAGTGTTTAGAAACTCGACTCAGCCAAGCTTCTTAGCCTGAGCTGAGTGACTCTGGCTAGTCTAAGTGGATTCGCCTGAGTCTTATATAGGGGAAAAGACTTAAAAGAATAAAAAAAATCAAAAAATTATTAAAAATATTATAATGATAGTTGTAAGAAAAAAAAAAAAGCAAGCTAAAAGCAACTTAAAAAAGTCCAAATAAACTAAAAAATATTAATATAAGAAAAGCTGATTTATATATGGGGAGATTTAAAAACAATAAAAAATAAAATATAAAACTAAGGATTATGGCAAATAAATACGCTCACCAATCATTTTTAAAAACATCTAAATCACATAAAAATTTATACATGAGATATATTTCTACAAACTTTTTGAATTTTTTTATGTTCCCCAAGTTGTACAAACTACTTGGGGCTACTTGGACTCACACAGTTCGAATAACTTGGTTGATTCCAAGTGGACTCGGCAAAGTCACGGAAGCAATGCGGACTACCAAACTGAGGCAATAAGCTGATCATGGCTTTGTATTTTCAAAGTTTTTTCAGTTTCTAGTTCTAGTTTTAAGTTAGCTTAGCTTATTTGTCATGGTCTCATGAGTTTAGACACTTAGTTCTACTTCAAACTGAAAGTTACATCAGTCAAGCAAATACCATAAAAGCCACTAGAGACTACCTAATCCATATTGACATTAATCTAATTTTAACATTCCAAAAAAAATAAAAATAAAAAGACAATGATATAATTTTGATAAGTAGTAGAATTCGAGCTAATATTAAGAGACTCCAAATTTTATATCTATTGGAGATTTTTCTATTCTTTATGAGGCCAAGAGACTCTAAAATGCTGAAATCAATCAAAATAAAGATATTTAGCTTGCTTCCTAGACATGGGGGAAGTCCTTGTCTTTGGGACCCCGTGCTTACATAACTAAAATTAGAAAATAATAAAAATTATAATAAAAAACTTTGATAGTTGTTAGTATTTCAGTTTTATTAGTGTTTAATGCAGCATGGGGCTTCCAAATAAAATAACAACAATTGTAAAGGAGTAGTACCTCATCTTGCTTGTATGTGCACCTATGGGTAGATAAGCACTAGATGGGAACTTTGTTTCCTTTATTTAGTTTTTCTATTTATGGGAAAAGTTTAGATAGAGCCTAAGCTCTAAATAATCAAATTAGAGCCTACCTCAAAAATTTCACTAGAAGAGGTTGTTTTGATGCCCAAATATCATCAAATTGATCATCTCGACATCAAGACGCATGAACATGAGAAAAAATTGGATTTCAAGTTTTGAAAATAGTGCATCTTGTAACGCATTTTTGGACTGTTAATTTTCAAATTTTCAAGTATTCATAGATCTACTCGATCTACACTATTTTTGAAGTTTCAAATTTTATAACTAAAATTAAAAATATAATTTAAGGCTATCACAAAACATTTCAATATTGAAATCATATTTCTCGATACTATTTGAAGGTGGTCTCGAATTTGATTGTTTAGAGCCTAGGCTCCATACATGCCGCACCCTTCTTTCATATTCTTTAGTTAGTTGCTTTTACTTTTGAATTTGAGTATTGTAGCTTCTGG